CTGTTGTGGTGTTGTTGTGACTGGTTAAAATCCTAGTCATTTGTTGTGTAGATCAGGCGGTGTTTAGTGGAGCACCAAGGTGCAGGGCCAGCCGCACCATCTGCCTACGCCTTCCCCCACCTCCGCTCCTCTTGATTCTGTCTTAACACCGGGCTCAGGTGGGGGTGGAACAGAGAGTGCATTAAATGCGGCGCAGGTCTGCATTGACTATAAATCAATTCAGGCGTCAGTCGTCGTGCCTGCCTTACCTTGCTGTGAAGCACCCTGTGAACATCGTCAGCAACGATTGCCGAACTGTCGAAACAAAACATTTTGTGCTACTACAAGTCGTTGAAATCGATGTGGCATAAGTTTCCCAATGTAAGTGATGGCGATGGCGGTGATGGTGATGGTAGTAGTAGTAGTAGTAGTAGTAGTAGTAGTAGTGGTGGTGGTGGTGGTGGTGGTGGTGGTGGTGGTGGTGGTGGTGGTGGTGGTCATCGCTGAACGCCTAACACAAAATAGCACCCCGTGCATGTGGCGCAAAAGTGACCCAAATTTCCCCTCTTTTAATGACTTCAGTTACAGGGAGGGTCTGAGTCTTTAATTCTGGATTTCATATACCAAAAAGCGCATAGGGAACGCTGGGGGACCTACTGAGGAGTTGAAATCCTCGCAGATGACTGACGCAGCGGCAGACTAACGTCGAAACACGTGTCTGGGTCTTAGTTAGTACCTACGTAGGGAGAACGGTAAAATGCGTTGTAAAATACATGCCTCATCGTGCGCCTTGCCACACATACGGAGCTTGTTTTCTTCGGGAAACCAATAAATCAATGTGCGCCCATTCCTGATTGAATACATACGAGATGTGCAGCGACAGAGAATGACAGTTGGCGAGGCATTCATTAACTTCGCTTCGATTAAGTGCTTATGACTCATCTGGTAGACGCAATGGTGGACCAACTGCGCCAGGTGCGTCTGTGCGCATGTTAGTGATTCTGGTTCCAGCTGCTGGTGGTCAGGGTTATGATTGGCTGAATGAAGGCAAAATAAGTCCGAAACAGTACTGCATCAATCTACCCGCATTATCCGTCTTCCCTCCCCTCTAATATATATACATATATATATATATATATGTGATAAGCTGATACCGACGAAAACAAGGGAGATCGGAATGGTCATTTCTGGCTTATTAGCCGTCATCAGCCAGTCATACCCAACCCCAAGTGTGGATCACTTGAAATTCGAACCCGGGATCTTTGGCCATGGAGTTTGACGCTCTACCATTGAGCCACGGGCCCGTTGTCCTGTCGGTTGTGATCGGGAATATCAATTATGACAGATGGGCGCTCACCGATCAGGTTACAGAACCTGCTCGTTCTGTTGTGCCTTGGGGCTCATACTTAAACCCTCGCAGGCAGTCGCACATCGACTAGTGGTATATGTATATGCGAGTTTTCTCCCAAGCGAAAGTGTGCCCGGTGTCCAGGGTGTGCATGGCCACTTGAGACAGATGGTCTCGCCTCTTCACTGCCAACTGGTGTTCGTGGATGCGTGTAGAGACGCATTTTCCAGTCTGGCCTCTACACGCATCCACGAACACCCGTTGGCAGTGAAGAGGCGAAACGTCAGTACAAATATAACTCGGTCCATGAATTCGCCCCATCTTCTTCTTCGTCTTATTCGGGGGATGATGAACGGGACACAATATCTGGACCTCGAATCTTTACCCATATAAATATATATATTATGACAGATGGGCGCTCACCGATCAGGTTACAGAACCTGCTTGTTCTGTTGTGCCTTGGGGCTCATACTTAAACCCTCGCAGGCAGTCGCACAGCAACTAGTGATATAGGTAGATAAGGTGATACCGACAAAGACAAGGGAGACCGGAATGGCCATTTCTGGCTTATTAGCCGTCATCAGCCAGTCATACCCAACCCCAAGTGTGGATCACTTGAAATTCGAACCCGGGATCTTTGGTCATGGAGTTTGACGCTCTACCATTGAGCCACGGGCCCGTTGTCCTGTCGGTTGTGATCGGGAATATCAATTATGACAGATGGGCGCTCACCGATCAGGTTACAGAACCTGCTCGTTCTGTTGTGCCTTGGGGCTCATACTTAAACCCTCGCAGGCAGCCATACCCAAGCCCGAAGTGTGGAACACCCGAGCCTCGAACTCGCGACCGGGTTCGAATCTCAAGTGATCCACACTTGGGGTTGGGTATGACTGGCTGATGACGGCTAATAAGCCAGAAATGGCCATTCCGGTCTCCCTTGTCTTTGTCGGTATCACCTTATCTACCTATATCACTAGTTGCTGTGCGACTGCCTGCGAGGGTTTAAGTATGAGCCCCAAGGCACAACAGAACGAGCATGTTCTGTAACCTGATCGGTGAGCGCCCATCTGTCATAATTGATATTCCCGATCACAACCGACAGGACAACGGGCCCGTGGCTCAATGGTAGAGCGTCAAACTCCATGACCAAAGATCCCGGGTTCGAATTTCAAGTGATCCACACTTGGGGTTGGGTATGACTGGCTGATGACGGCTAATAAGCCAGAAATGGCCATTCCGGTTTCCCTTGTCTTTGTCGGTACCACCTCATATATGTATATTCACTCAGGAATGGGCGCACACCGATCCATTGGCTTCCCGAAACAAACAAGCTTCGTATAGGCGATAGGGGTCACGAACAGGCAACCACCTACCAGGCCGAAGTCGGCCAAGCTATGATAGCAGAGGGGAGACGACAGAGTCTGGGGGTAGATTGATACAGCACTGTTTCGGGCTTGTTTGCCTTCATTCAGCCAATCATAACCCTGACCACCAGCAGCTGGTACCGGAAACACAAACATGCGCTCAGACGCACCTGGAGCAGCTGGTCCACCACTGGGGTCTACCAGATGGGTCATAAGCACTTCATCGAACCGAAGTTCATCAGTGCCTCGCCACCTGCCATTCTCTGTCGCTGCAGATCGGGTATTTATTCACTCAGGAATGGGCGCACACCGATCCATTGGCTTCCCGAAGCAAAAAAGCTTCGTATGGGCGATAGGGGTCACGAACAGGCAACCACCTACCAGGCCGAAGTTGGCCAAGTCATAATAGCAGCATGAAATGTAAACGGAAAATCCGTAATGCGTCTTCGTCTCGAAAATATTAATTAAGTAGTGTTCCAAAACTGATCATCGTGCAGAAGAATTCAATAGTAATTCAGTTATTTTAGGACGTCGGCTTTCGAACGAACTTCTTTCCAGTTGCATGCAAAAACCATGCTCTGCAAAAAATGACTACTTAATTAGCATGCATTTTCTCATGGATTTTTGATGTCCTTAGGTGCTCAATTATATTTCATTGAAATCATGCATAAAATATTTATTCTTTTGCTGATTCGGTAAAAAAATAACGTCTTCTTCCAATGTATATAAACCATCCTTCCTGGAAAATGGCGAAGAGGAGGCCAGTTCAAGGGCGAACTATATTTTTTAGGCGATTTCGCGAATTCCCTCGTCACTAGCATCAAAGTGGTGTGGTGGCTGTCGCCGTTTACCTTTATCCACTTAACGTCATTGCTTGCCTCGCAGTATAGCTGAGCTCGACTGACGACGTTTGACTTGCTCATTTGCTGCCGACAAGCTTTAACCCCCCCCCCTCCCCACCGTGGTCGACAGCTGGCAGCCTGACATTACCTTTGTCTCCATTGCGGCCGTTATTTACCGCCGCCTCCCCCTCATCATCCGACGCACTGACTAATTATTACTGCTCGAGAGAATCGCCCTGAGCCTCGCGTTCTTGTCAATGAGACGGCGTTACATGCTGACCACCTGATCGTCGGCTGCCTCTTCCCCGCTTCTCCGTAAACGTCAGCTGATTGTCCCACGTGACTTTAATCACCTGTGCTGTCCGAATTTATTTCGGCCTGGCTGCAAGCTCATGGTTCGGTTAAGTGTGCCGGTAGAGGACTAAATTTGAGTCCCGGTCTGACCATCGTCCCATTGGCTTAGCAGATGCCATCCGCATTCTCAATTTCGTCATTGACTGACCAGTACGCCGGATGACGAGGAAGAGGCGAACAAGCTTGCTGACTTGGCTGAATCTGACACGCGCAAAGGGGACCAAGCGGTTGACTACGGCGAGATAAGAGAGAGTCCACAGCAAACGGGCAGGTCAAGCGTTGTGCATCACACACGGCGATGAGGCCGAGTAAATAAGGACAAACTGGAACAGCCACCACGCCACTCTGAAAAGGGGAAGAGGAAGTTTGCGCAACATTGGCATCAATATAATTCGGTCCATGAACCCGCCGGCTCTTCGATTTTTTTCCCGAGGATGATGAACGCGACAAGATATCTGGGCCTTTAGTCATCACGTGTACATATATACAAACATTAAGGAAAATGGGCATCCTAAGACATGTCATTTCCGAGACTGATTCCTTAGATCTTCGTCAGACTTATGGGTCATGTACACAAACAGTTAACTATTTGGCCGACCACCAGGTAGGTTGAATGCTGCTTTGTTGAATGTGTCTGCTCATCATTTCCATTTCAGCAAACAACTGGCCCAGTGGCTAGTTAACCTTCTAGGTATGCGGTGGCATGGCTACTACATCCTATAAATACTGCAGCCGCATGTGCATGAGCCACCCTTATCTGCTTATGTCTCTGATGATGGATTCGAGCAGGAATCCGAAACGTCAGGCTAATAAAGCTCTTGTCCCGGCGATCGTGTCTTCTTCTTCAATAACCTTCTAGTCGCCGCCGCCGACGACGAGGATGCTTCCGTTGAAAACCGATGGTACCAACTGAGGGACACAGTCCAGTCGACCGCCGTGGATGTCCTTGGCCATGCACGTTTTCAGCCCCAGGAGGAGTTCAACGACGCCGCCATCAGCAGTCTGCTTGTCAAGAGGAACCGGCTGCACAAAACCTACGTCAACCACATTACTGACGCAAACAAAGCAGCCTTCTAAAGAAGTCGCCACTTTCTACAACAGCGGCTGTGAGAAATGCAGGACGCCTGGACGGCTCACAAGGCCGAGGAGATCCTAGAGTACGCGGGCCGCAATGAGTGGGAAGACGTCTTCGCTGTGATCACGGTTGTCTACGGTGCCACAATCAAAGTAACTGCTCCTCTTCCCAGCGCCAGCGGAACTATTCCACTCACTGAAAAAGCACAAATTCTAAAACGCTGGGCCAGACACTTCGGAAGTATCCTCAACCGCCCTCCACCATCTCCGTAGTCGGCCTCGACTGACTGACTGAAGTGGAGGCCTACGCCGACCTCGACCTCTCGCCCTCCCTCCATGAAACCATCAGGACCGTGCAGCGACTCTCTAGCGGGAAAACGCCCGGATCGGAGGGGATCCCTGTTGAGATCGAGCGACCACCCAAAGGACTCTTCTATGGCGATGTCGCCAGGGGTACTTCTCGACAAGGAGGGCAAACGCGGCGCTGCAGTGACACTTTGAAGAACTCTCTGAAACAACTGTAGATCTGGAAGGACCTCGTCTAGGACAGACCGGCCGGAACAAAAGAAGTGAAAACTGGTGCAGGCATCTGCGAAGCCAATCGGCTCGTCGCCGCCAAAGATAGAAGGGAGGCCTGCAAGTCACAAATGCTTCGACTCCTCAATGCGGACAGTCAACCGCTTCCAACATGCCCGCGCTGCGCGAATTGGCCTCGTGGGACATTTTGGGACGCAATACCGGTTAAAATCCTAGCCATTTGTTGTGTAGACCAGGGCATGTGCGATGGAGCGCCAAGGTGCAGGACCAGCCGTACCATCTACCTGCGCCCAACCCCACCTCCGCTCCTCTTGATTCTGTCTTGACACCGGGCTCAGGTGGGGGAGGAGCAGAGAGTGCGCTAGATACAGCGCAAGTCTGCATTCGCCATAAACTAAATCACGCGCCACTAACTGTGCTTGCTCCACCTTGCTGTAAAGCACACGATGGGCAGCGTCTGCAACGACGGCCGAACTGGCCCTTCAACACACAGCGCACTTGAACTTGTCTCCATGAAGCTCATCCACTACTTAGTCGCCATAAACATGTGTCAGACAGAAGTGCGCTGCGATTGTAGATGCCGGCAGGAGTGTCACAGCACTGGAGGGGGGGGTGGGAGCATGGGTAGAGGCTGTAGCTTCTGTTTCAAGTAGGCACGCGCCGACACTGAGGGCATTATAACCGCTTAAAGTTACGGGAAGCCTAAAAACAGTAGCATTCACGTACCAATGGGAAACAAGACCACTGCATTCCCAATCGCTGTATGAAGAAAGTGTAAACAGGGGGAAGATGAAAGAAGCGTCACGTGGTGCTCTGTGACAGCGCAGAATGAAGCTTGTTTATGAGAAAACTAATGAAAAAATGTAAAAGTGTGGATGAAAATGTTGTCCTTGGGAAGCATATCAGACGAAGTAGTGTTCGGTGAGATATATTTATTTGATTTCCGACGTCCCTAAGAGCAATTGCTGTTCTCAGTCAGTAACAGGCATGCACAAAAGATGTTTAACGCCATACGCCAATGATGCGTTTTTGTATCGTCAAACGGACCAGGAGAGAGAGAATTTTCAGACAAAACTCAACCCATTTGCCTTCCCCCCTCCCCAATATAGTTCACAATGGAGGACCAACTCTCGTCGGATTTCCAAGTCTGTCACTAACTTGCGAAAACATCGTTTGGGAAGACCAAGTTTCCACAGCAAGTCTCTCTTTCCAAGCAAAAGCAGTTGCTGGAGCGCGTGCTATTGGCCAGTATGAATTCTTTGCAGTGGGCCAGTAGCTAAGAGGGCTGACTCAAACCGCATCTGGGGAATGTTCAGAGCAAAAGGCCGCCGCTACCATTTATCGGGAGAGGCAGATGTACCCAACTGGAGAGAGAAAAAGAGGGAGAGAGAAAAGCGAGAAATTCAGTGGGCCCAGGTCAGAACTACATCGATCTGCCATCTGTCTACACGGCACTAGGCGCCCACACAGCGTTTTTGCACCTGAGGTCGGCCGTCAACTATCTAGGCAAAATATGATAACCGACAAAGACCAGGCAGACTGGAATGGCTATTTCTGACTTATTAGCCGCTGTCAGTCAGACATACCCAACCCCGAAGTGTGCTAGGCCCGGGGCTCGGTTCAGCGATCTGTTGGTTAGAAGTCCGATGCCCCTAACCAGTGAGTCACGGGCTCATTGTTCTGCTGGTTGTGATCGGGAAAAAAACAATGGTAGAGAGGCGCTCGCTAATCGCGCTAGGAACTCACTCATCCCGTTGTGCATTAGGGGTCTCTCTCGAACCCCAAGGCACAACGGGGCGAGTGCGTTCCGTAGCGCAAACGTTGAGCGCCCTTCTACTCTTGCCAACCTTGCCTTGGGGCTCTAAGTTCAGCGTAAATCCAGTACTTTGCGCAATAGCAGACAAGCGTCCATTGAGAGGGGTTAGTAACCAGGACTAAGGACATTGGAGTGGCCAGTATGCCCCAACCATAGTTCGAACACTACACTCGATCCACCAGGCTCAACTCTTAGAAAGCCAAAACCGTCCCCCTTTACTTCAGATACCCATTAAGATCTTCCCAGCAGATACTGCTTACTTTTGTTCTGACATGAATATGCATTGTGACTGCAATAGCATCGTGTATTCTGGTGATAGCTTGGTACTGCCAAGGAAGCCAAGGCATGAATAGTAAAAAGTCCTAGTACACTGCAACCCACCAACGCACTCCTTAGAAGACGCCTTGTGGCAGTCTGCTTCCGAGACCCCCAGCGCGACGACTCATTTCCGCAGCCTTCAGTCCGCCCAGCTCACCCCCTGCCAATCGATTGTCTGAGTCGCCTATGGCCTGACAATATCGCGGTGACAGCTCGAGACCAATCCACGACACAGCCCTCGCCGATCGGCTGTATGCTGACGGAGCTAAGACGCACCCACTCGCCTGCTGACACGACCAATTCCAACTGCCTGCCGAAGTGCTTGTACATTGTTTTACACCAGTAAAGTTTGTCCGACCAACTCTGTCTCGCCGGCTTTTGATTTTGGAACCTTCCAGTTGTCGATCCATTGCACCTCGACTGCCTCCGCGTACGTTCGCCCATTGAGGCAATTTCTGGAGATCCAACATCCCAGTGAATTGCGTGATTCCACCGATATAGGGGAAACCATGGACACAGCTCGCTTTTGTTTCATCGATTAATGAAGAGCTACTGAATGGCGTTGTTGTCATTAAGATACCATACGGCATAGAGGAGGTGACAGTTTCTGCCTAAGCGCACTGAGCTGCCAAAGTTCGCTCATGCTGCCTCTGATGGAGCATCAATGGCCCCTCCTTTTAGTGTTGTGTCATATGACTCGATTTCGCGCACGTACTTTTACCGCTTAGGCGAAGCAGCCCACAAGCCGTTTTATTTGTCTCCGGGCGTTTCGACTTCCTGCAAAGGGTCAGCAAAGAACTTGAGTTCAGTTTTGGGGCCCCGGAGTGGGGAGGAAGGCTGAATCGGTAGATGGTTATGTCGAAAATTTTGCACGTGGATTCCCTGCAACAGAGGAGTCTTTCTGTCCTTGCGACGGCAGGCAAAAGTTAAAACCAAAAACTGTCATGGGAGCCGGGTTCCTGCGCTAATTCTTGAAGATCACCTTCCATGCGATAAGATAGCGTTCGTCAGTTGATGCGCAGGACAAATAGACCCGTTCCGGCTACACTGTATCTTACCTACCGCGTCAAACTTAAGTCCAATGTTGTGGAACTCGTCAAACTACTTGAAGGCCACTTTCGTCTAAGCTCCCCTTCTGACAGATGGCCAGTTTACTTAAACAAATGGTGATCTGAAGAGCATGGAATCTGATTTAAGACCCTGGCTTGGGCAATATGGGCTGTTTGTTGCCATGTCAGAATTGTAAGCCAGTTAGCGGGTTCGTGCCAATTTCCACGAATTTTCCGCGACATAACCTGGGTCGATCCCACCAAGCTAAGAGAACGACCTGAAGCGCAGCGTGTCCAACGTGAACCTCGAAACTAGGGTAAATAAAGTTTCGCGTTCGGGGTTCTACTGATCCCTAGTCGAATTAGAGCTACTGAAAGGGGGATTTCTTTGCTTATATGCAGCAATTGATAGTCTTCGTATCGTCTATGCCACGAGGTTGCGCAGCAGTGTTAAGCTGCCACGCGAATTACATAACTTGCCTGATAGGGCGTAAACGGAAACTAGTCAATCATTGTTATTTCCATTCCCCTACCTTCCCTCCTCTTGACCCTTATTTGTACTTTGTTTTCTTTTTCTGCCTCCCCCTCTCTTTGGCCCCCCACTAGGCTGGAGTCGATTGTCGCGTGTCCTGGAACGCGTTTGTGATAGAAGAACTGGTGTAAGTATAACATTGGACAGAGTATGAGGATCCGGGTTTCGCAGGTGTCAAATCGAGTGCTCCACGCAATTTGGGATGACGGACGCTATAGAGAGTGGGCCATCGTTGTTACCTCTATCAGTCCCTTTCAGGTCTCATTTGTGGATCGGCATACCTGGGCAGTTCAACTACAATCAGACGCGTCAGGGCGTTGGCCTTCAAATGCACTTCATTTCAGCCGTCTGCAAAGACAGCACCCGGTAGAAAAATGATTGCTCAAATAGTGTTCGATGTTCTTGTAAATTCGGATATATTTTATAGAGAATCTCTATAAAAAATACTATTTCTTATACTCAGCCGGTAGCAAATTGTGTTGTCTTCAAATTTTATGCTTGAAGGGAGGGTGTCTTTTGGTTTTAGAAGATTTTTGACCAAGGGTATGATGTGGGACCCCCCCCCTCCCCTCGGGAATACCAGATCTAACTGTCGCCATAACACCAACCATGACCATGGCTATAATGGGAAATCCTAACCCTTAACCCGTAAGCATTTAAAGAAAGCTCAAATGTAGCCACAACCTTAACCCTAGGCTTTACATCCCTAACTTAAGCCGAAAAACCTTAACCAAAACTCTTAACCCTAATTCTAAACCCACAGATTCAGACTACAATTCAAGTTTGACAACCTCAGTCCTAGGAAGGACCCAACTCCTAACCCAACTCCCTAACCGAAGCCGTAAGTTCGATCCGGGGAACTTCAATGTCAGTAACGCCAGTGAAGATCAAAATCTGCGTATCGCATGACCCTCTTGCCGATCTTTTTCTCAGGCAAACCGTTATGAACCAAAGAATAGCATTATCCACAGAGATAATGGAGACTGGAGTAGCTATTTCTGGTTTATTAGCCATGGTCAGCCAGCCATACCTAACCCCGAGGCGTGCAAAGCCGGAGGCTCGGTCCCACGACCCGTTGGTTAGAAGTCCAATGTCTCTGACCACTAAGCCACGGGCGTGTTGCCCTGTCGGTTGCTATCGAGTATGTATCATGGTAGTGGGGTGTTCACCGATCGCGCTACAGAACACGCTCGTCCCGTTGGGCCGTATGGTCATACTACATCTGCCAACATAAGAAAAGAAGGTGCACTTTTGGAAAACGACCCAGGGGCTACGTACCCTACCCCCCCCCCCACCCCCCTGTTTTTCAATTCCCGACTACTTTTGAACTCGAAATGCCTTTAGATTTTTGTTTGGGGCTTTGAGTCTTCAAGCTGTATACTTTCCGTACAAGGAAGAACATTCGTTCCCGTAGGTTATCAAACATACCATACGCAGCTCATACGGTGTTGCGACGCATGTGGACTATGTTGTATGAGAAGCGTTATTCAACCCAAAGATACAAAGTTATTCGAATGGACCTTGCACGGCCTTAAAATGTCATAACTAAAAACCCTTTAAAACCTAAAGCTATCCTATCTTCAAGTATAAAATTTGAGTATGACGTGATTTGCCACCAAATGAATAAAAGGAAGAATATTTTTATGCATGTCTCATGCATAGTAGTTTTTTAATTTGCAGTCATTGAAAATCGATAAAGAGAGTGCATACTACTTAAGTAGTCGTCTTTTACCGAGTTCGAGTTTTGCAGGTAGCTGAAAAGAAGTTCATTCAAAGGTTAACACCTTGAGGTGTCTGAAGTATCAGGGCATTATGTCACAAGTTGATCATTATCACACCACTACTTACAAATTCGTCTTGATCGGAAACTTCCTTCGCGGTTTCCGTTAACACTTCATGAGATCTGTTATCCCCTGCAGATGTCTAACCTAAACTGAACGAAAATATGGGGGGTGGGGGTACACGGGCAAGTGAAATTCAAAGGGATTTTGCGTGAAATACAAAATTAAATACACACTTAACGGCGACTGTTAATATGCCTTGAATGTGAAACTTGGCAGCCCAATATGTCGATTCGGCTTGTGCGATCTCCCCTACATTAAAATCTGCTAATCTAAAAGTGCCTGTATTAAAACTACTAGTGGTATCTTACCTTGTGCCTTGGAGCTTCATTTCGAACTGCCCGTGAAGAGGTTTTATGCTGCTTCTGGCGCCTTGCAACATAAGCCAGAGTTGAACCGCGCCCTAAGACTTACAAAGTCACTTGCCAAATTCAGAGGATTGACCGGTTGATATGACCTTTTAACCGACAGTTCTATCGCCGTTTCTTACAATGTCCACCGCATTGATGACTCGTTTTAGGAATATGGTCTGGGCAACACATCTGGTCTATGCATCTTACGAGAAGGACCACGCGACTAGGCAGGGTCTCTATAATATTGTCTATTTAAAAAGCTTCTCAAGTAGTCGCATCTGCTGGAATATGGAAAAGCTAAACATGCTGGAGATGCGTGGGGGGAGTGTGCGGTGAGGGTGTGGGCAAGAGAGATCAGGGAATGGTGGATCGGTTGTCGTCGTGATGCTGCTGCTGATGGTGGGCGCGCCGTACCCCCAAAACGGGCCACGTGGTAGATGCGCTGGATCAACACGGGAGTCATATCGGATTTTGGCAGGCGTTATCGGATTTGCGCATCATAACCAATATCAACGTTTCGGGATGCGGTGACAGACCCGGTTGACGGCAGACGTCGCGCACACCGGGACACCTGCTGCCCTCCACTTTTGTTGTTGTTGTTGGTCAAAAACCTGGTGTGTGGAGTGGAGCGCCAAGGTGTCGGCTCGACCGGGCCATCCGCTTGCGCCCTCACCCGCCTCCGGTCTTCTTGACTCTGTCTTGACACTGCGTCCAGGTGGGGGAGGAGGAGAGAGTGCGGTAGATGCTGCGCAAGTATACGATTACTATTAAATAATTCACGCACAAGTCACCGTGTCTGTTACACCTTCCGGTGAGACATTTTGTCGTCGATTTCGGCGCAGCGTGAGGGTGTACTGCCTAACTGAACGTCGTTGGCATGGATGTCAGGGACACTGTAGGTAGCGTTGAGTAGCAGTTGATGCATGACCACCGCCATGGACAGTAGTCTTGGAAAGACGCACTGGGTCTGCATTCGCCGGCTGTTGAGGAGATGCCCGCAGCTCTATAGGCAGTGCAAAGCCAGGAGAACTCGATAAAGTTGGCGTCCATCAACATGACTGAAAACATGAGGCTGAAGGTTGTGGCGAGTGCGCAGCCCTGCTTCACTCCGTTGGCTACAGCAAATGTTTCGGAGACGGTCCTGCTGTCCGCGACGCGCGCCATCATCCCTTCATGGAGTTGATGTACCATGTGTGTCAGTTGCTCAGGACATTTGAATTTCTGCATGATCTTCCAGAATCCATCGCGATAAACCCCTTTGAAGGCATCCGTAAAATCTACAAAAGTAGTGTACAGGTGGACCAGCATCTTCTGGCAGGGGCAGCAAAGGCCATGTCAGTGGTTCCGCGGCGCCATCGGAAGCCACACCGACTATCCGCCAGAAGTCCCTGTTTGATATGGCCGAAGAGGCGGTTGAGGAGGATGCGAGCGAAAATCTTCTCCGCGATGTTGAGCATCGAGATGCCTCCGGAATTATCACAGTTGCTGGTCCCTCTTTCTCTGGTAAAGATGAACGGTTGTCGCATGCTTGAAGTCCTGAGGAATTTGTCCTCAGCGTCAAGTCTCCTGGAATAACGTTATGTGATCCACCAGTCGGGGAGTTACCGTGCTTGTAGACTTCAATCGGGGTCGCAATACATCCCGATGCTATACCGCTGAAGATTTCGGGGACGATTCGGATGTTTTCCGGGGGGACGGGACGAAGGCGAGGGATCTAGACTGTCATCCTTTTCCGCCTGGAGTAGTCGATCGATGGCGGCGTCGGAGATTGTAAGTGAGCGATCAGAGACTTCTTGTTCTTCTTCTCCTCGCTTTCAATTGTCTTCTCACCCTTCTTCTTCCTCCTTTCCCTCTTCTCCTTCTCCTTCCTCTCCCTCGCCTCCTCCTCCTCCTCCCCCTCCTCCTCCTCCTCCTCCTCTTTCATTTATCTTTTTTTATTCTTTTTCCACAGCTATCCCTTCGTCTCCCTCATCTCCTATTTCGTCTTTGTATCCGTCTGCCTTTTCATTTTTTTCTTGTCGCTTCAACGGCCCCTCACCCTTTTCCATCGCCGTCGTCGTCGTCGTCGTCGTCGTCGTCGTCGTCATCATCATCGTCCCCTTCACACTCTTTTTCTGGTGCCTTTTTCTCTCATCTGACTGACAGCAAGCCGTAGGGTCTCTCCCAGGCTCATGTGACTGGGGCGAAAAAGGCCTTGCTTGTGTGGGACGTAGTGTTTGCGTCCTTCCTGGCTCAACGGGTACGCGCACGCACCTAACTGAAGATCACGTGGCTGCGGGTAATGCGGCTGTGGCGGCAAGCCAGAAACGTATGACGTGCCAGTCGGGGGGACAGAGAGCAGCGGTGCCAAAACAGGCCTTCTTCTACGGTGGAAGGAAGTTCAGCAATTAGGTTAGGGGACGTTCTCATTCCGCTGTGCCTTGGTACTGAAACTAGGGTTCTCCCAGGCGGTTGTACAGCTACCAGCAGTATATATATACATGCAGGAAAGGAGGAACGTTGAATACGAGTTGAGAAGATGTGTGAGAAATATGATCGGAGCTAAACGCATATGGAGTAGGAGTAAGGACAAAGACAACCGGTGAACAATAAGAATGCACTTACACATATACACGAGTTAGTCTAGTTTGCGCTTGTTAAAGCAGCAAATGTGGCTTCGGACCTTGCCCTCTGAGAGGAAGAAAACATTCTTTCGTTGGTTTCATGTTACTGACTTATAAGTACAATTTTTAAAATCCACTTTAAACAGTTGAAAGAAAAGGGTTCTCTCTTGGAGAGGGAGATCACTGCTCATCCCATATCAAATCAGAGTTGTAGCGGATATCGGTGATATAAGCTTGCTTGTTGACACATAAGATTTCCCTAATGCGTGAAACAAAACTGTTCTCCACAAAAGTTTTATTGAAAATAGTGAGAATAATATTAGCAATAATATTCACGATAAGAAGTGAGCTTTCGAATTCCAGGTTCTTTCTGCTAAGAAGAACATGCGATAAACGGCAAGGTAGTTGCACCGGTCTGAGCTTTCGGACTCATAAAATAGCCCGCCTTCAGAGACTATAACAGTACGCGCGTCGTGGCCGACCATGTCCACCGTGCGTTCCACAGCAGGGGGAAAGCAGCGACGGTGACCTGCGCGTGAATTAGTTTATAGCGGTAGTAGACTTGCACTGCATCTACCACACTCCCTCCTTCTCCCCCATCGGAGTCCGGTGTCATGCAGAGTCAGGAAGGCCAGAGTCGAGATTGGGCGCAGGCCGTTAGCGCAGTGAGAGCTTGCGCCAAAGCGTGCTAACACACTTCCCCCATGTACAGCATTTGTTATGCATGAGAACCCTGATCCACCCCCCACCCGTGTTGGTCCTGCGTAACTCCCATGCGGTCTGTTGTGGGTAGCAGAAAAACAAAACCTGGGCCGTCTGATAGTCCGTCAATGCCGGGGGAGCCTGTCCTCGCGGCTGGACCGGATTCACGCTGTCAAACTCACGGTGGTCTCACGTCGCGGTGACCACCTGCGTCCTTGTCTGGAAACGAGGTCGCGCCATCTCGCATCGTGTGTGGTGCCCCTCAAGCGGGCCACACGGTAGGTGCGTCGGGCCAGTACAGGAACTGGATCGGAAGCCGGCAGGCGTTATTGGAATGCTCACACATTACAAATGCCAACACTGCAGCGTAATAGCAGGCCCCGTTGCCGGTTCACGTCGCGTCAATCGGGATCCGTACTTCTACCTTCTTTCGCTGTCAGCGTGCGTTGTGGACCAGGGGATGTAGTGGTACACCAAGGTGCGGATTTACGTCCTGTCAGTCACCTACGTCTTCCTCCGCCTCCCGCCGTCCTCTTGACTTTGTATTGACACCGAGCCCGGGCGGGGGAGGAGGAAGAGTGCGGTAGATGTTGTGCAATTTTCCGCCCCTGCTCTCACTCTGCTGTGAAGCACACGATGGACATCGTTAGCGGTCAGGCCGTCAGTGGTCCTACAAATGGCCTTGTGGGAAGTGCGCTGGATCAACACGGGGCGGGTCTGAACGATGCTCAAGTATCGCATCACAAATGCACTTCATGGGCGGGAGTATGTTGACACGCCTTGACTCAGTCTAGGGCACTTCGGCGCATTTCCTCACCAAACAACCAGAAGGGCATTGAAGTCGTGACTTAGAAAGCTGCCAACTGAAGAGGTAACTCAATTCTCTCAGGTCGAAGACTCAGGCGGCCATGGCGCCTTCTTAACGGGATCCGAGACGACAACTTCTTGATTCTGTGAAAACCTGCTTCACCGTGCAGGGACCAGGTGTGAGTCGCACGCGTAGAAAGGCCATTTAGTTTTGTCAACCACCGCATACCAATACGTCTCCCCTTGCCTTGACGTATTTTTGCCACCAGGTGCAGAAGGGTGGGGATGGAAGGGAGTCCGGCAGATGCCGTAAAAGTCCACCATTAGTATGAACTAATTCACGGTCAAGTCACCGTCTCTGTGCCCGCTATGCCACGGGGCACACGGTGGACCTCATCGTTCCCCACGGTCGAACTGGCACATCAACGTATCCGTTTACGAAGTGTGTGCTAAAGACCCCCGCCTCCAACAGTCCTCACCCGCGTCATCGTGCTCGTGCCCATGAATTATTGCAAGCACAAGTCCAGGGACTGGCGGCTAGATTGCAGCGCATCTGCTCTCCTGAAACTGTTGAAGCATAACTCCAGCAGCTGCAAAACACACTCCGCGAAAACGGCTATCCAGAGAGATTCGTCCTCCGGAATATAAGAGAGCGTGCCACAAAACCTGCCGTTGCAACTGCAGAGAAGAAAGACTTATTTCTAAGACTGCCTTTTTTAGGAGACGCAACAAGCGAAGTAGTGAGACGACGTCTTGGGACATCTCTCACGAGTGCCTTCCTCGTGGCGAACTTGCGTGTATTTTTCGCAACCTCCCCCCTACTACGGTTGGGGAACAAAGACCGACTGCTGTTACAGGTCGCATTCATGTGTGCTTATTCATTCACCTGCTGCTATGGAGCGAGATATATTGGTCGTACAATGAGGCGTCTGGAAAAGAGGTTACGCGAACACATACCTGCCTGGCTAGGTAGAGGGGAAAATCGATCGATTTCGAGTTAAATTCTCGCACAGCCAATCGATACGAACCACCAAGCCGACGCCGGGCACCGGCACATTAAAGGCCTGCGCAAACGGGTGCCAGCCATAGCCGAAGCAGCGGCCATTCGACTAGCGAACCCAGCGCTCTGTTTCCAGAAGACGTTTACACAAGCAGTCTGTCTTCCCTGACCGACTCCAGATGGTGATCGCACGCCATCCCGACGCCCTGAGTGCAGTCACACGCACTTACAGCGCTTAAAATATAACCATAACCCTTCTCCTTTTCCCCTCCCACCCCAACTTCAGCGTCCTCAACACGCTGACTCCGTCATGCGGGCGGCGTGGGAACATGGAGTCTGACTAACCCCGCCCCGGAGACGCATTTATATCCAGTCTGCAATTAAAAAGATCATTACCCATGTAAATGTATTGGCCTGATGATGAGTTTCTGAAATTATAGGCTTGCCAACTGACTTTCAAATATACATCAGATCCTCAAAAGCTGAGTTTGGGGGCGGCCGACTGATGAAGACTACTAGGCCGGAACTTGTCGCCCTAGTCTCGCCTGTCTTTTTCGGCACTCCATCTTGTGTACATTACTGGTCGCCATGCAATAACCTGCGGTGTAGAAGGGCAACCTGAACTTGTTGTTTAAGTGTGACCTTGCCATTTTTGTTCTTTTCTTCGACGCGCCTGTTTTTCAAACTGGACTTTTATCTTAGTTACCGCGGTGGAAGGGTGTGAGAGGGCTAGTCGAGAGACCGCCTAGAGGGAGGAAGTCGGAAAGAAGCCGGAACAGGATTAATTACCACGTGTTTTTATATTTCTTTTAATAAACGTTCCCATCGTCAATCTATTCTACCTGCATACGCTTGCACTTGAGGGGGATGAGCTCATTTCCCGCTAGTTTTCAGGATTCCAACCGAGAAGATACCCGACCTGACAGAAACACTAGAGAAGCACATATAGGCTGTCGCATAGAGAAAGAAGCCAAACCCGTACCCTTGAGTGGCTCGAACACTACAGCGGAGCGCACTAGAAAGACCATGTCCCATAACTTAATCGGTGAGCGCCCGTTCTACAAAGGTGAACATTTGTGATCACAACCGTCAGGACAGTTGGTCCGTGGTTCATCGATGCTGAGTTTGACTACCTACTGCATAATGACCAAGGAACTCCAGCAAGTCTGAGCTTCGGTAAGGCTGACCGACTGCGGCTAATAAGCCAGAAATGGACATCCCAGTCTCTGCTTTCTTTGCATGGAGCAAAAAGCGAAAAAAACGTCCTGACATAGCCTTTGCGAGGGAAAATGACAGCGCGCGGAGCAGGAATCGTTGGCCATGAGGGCAGTGGTGCTTCATTCAGGCCAAGGGGGTGGAAGCGTGCGACGACACTTGGCGGCTGACAGACGGCAGAGTCGACAGCCCTCCCCTCGGGATTAGAAAAGGCACAGAGCAGGGCTGGAGGGGGGGAGGGGGGAGTCCATGAATGTCATCACTGAAAAAGATGCATTCAGAAGACTCAGTACCAAAAGTTGCATGAGATACTCTGAAGGGTGAAAAAGTGAGTATTTCTTCTCTTAAACAGGGGATCAGCTGGTGTAATAGGATAGTTGCGTCACCAGACGGTAGCTGACGACATTTAGCTGCATGAGCGTGTAAGAGGAAGAAATAAAAAAGACCTCGCGTCAAGAATGGACACTATGACTCGGAGTAGTCCGTGGGCTAAAAACGAGGCAATATAATAATCTAAACGGCAAAGTGATCCATTTTGGCGCATATGCGAGTCAAAGTCTGTAATTCTGAAGCTTTCCTTCTAGGCCAGTCATCGTC